TGTGATTTTAATAAATTCTGTTAATTTCCCTTTCAAAATATTTTGTAAGTATCAATTGGTAAGTGATAAATCAGAATACTAATATTTAGTTTTTTATTCTGATAAAAGGCTAATGAATTCATGAGGAAGATATTTGTTATTCAAAACTGAAATGAAAATCAACTTCCTTACAGCAGTCTTGTAGGATTCTTACTATTTATCCACATGAATATTTTAACATCTGATGATATTCTTTCTATAAATTTCTCTTGATAACAAACTTAAAACATTGAGTCACTTTTTATATTTATGGTGATATATGCTAAGCTTTTTGTCACATCAAGTTTTGCTATCTGACATTCCCATGTCAGTAAAATATTGGCACCAGAATAGACTAAAACCCTTATTTGCTTATCAGCTTTTAGATTCTTCTGCATTTCAAAATACTGCATTCTTTTAGAAGGATTGCCATCACCATATCTAGATTTGTCAGAAACTGATATCACTCTTAAAAAGGCAAATATATTTTACTAACATATAAGTTAGAGAGACACCTATGCTAGTGACATAAAAGTATTTGAATCTCCATACAATTCTGGCAAGTGAATCTTTACAGAAATAGAATGAAGAAAGCTTTATTTTCTGCTGTGTGCTCCATGAGCTTTTACTTTGATTAAGTTTCAGAATGCAAAATGTATTGAAAAAAAATAAAAAATAAAAAAAAAAAACTAATCCAAGATAAATAATAAAACTAGTCAAGAAAGTAGAAACATATTTGACTTACAATATTATTAAGAAAAAACTGAAAAAAATCATTTGAATCACTTTGAAGGAAAACATTGCGATAAGACTCAATCATTTTGAGATTTATACAATTTTTAAAGTCTCAAATAAAACATTGATAAGTTTGTGAGAAGATGTATATATGATATCACACATTGAGTGCTGGTGTTAATAAAATAGTTCTCAATGTAATATAGCAGAGCTATTAAGTATATATTAATAAATATACACTTTTTCCCTCACTGGGAGCAGGACTTGGAATTTCATGCCCAACACAATCTTCAGGTGCTAAATTGACACTGATCATTGCATAATTTAAATAAACATATCTGGTTAACATAATGTTGGCATAGTCTATATATTATATGGGGGATAGCTTTTATTTTATTTTTTTAATTTTGTATTTAAAATAAACAGGATGTATATTTTATATTTAAAATAAACAGGATTAATGTTTTTTTTAATTTTGTATTTAAAATTTACCTATAACTAGAAAATAGAACTAATGGAAAGACATTCATATAAAAAAATATTTATATTTCCTCAACAGAAAATAAGTAATGAGAAGAAAATAAAAAAGGAAAGGTTATAATCTACAGTAGAAATTAATCTGTACAATGTATTTGAACAGGTATTTATTTTTATGCCTACATGTGACCATCAATACATTTCTCTTGTTTAATAAGTTAGGGTTATTTAAGTGTTTTAAGATTTCTCTGTAAGGCATACATTACATCTCTCTCTCATATATATATATATATATATATATATATATATACAAATTTTAAAAAAGTAAGGGATTTTTTTTTTATTAATCCGACAGATTTTTTTTTTTTATCACTTTAAATGTTATTCATAGTGGATACTCATATTTGAGTAGATGCTCTATTTATTAAACAGTATATTTATTTTCGTCTACTGGCCTGAATGTTTGAGAAATTTGATTAAAGTAAAATTCATGCTCTCTGGTAGGATTCAAATATTCACGAAAAAATAATGTCCAAACTTTAAAGTGATAAAAAATCTGTTGGATTAATAAAAAAAATCCATTACATTCTCTAAAATTCACTTTGTTTACATTTGAATATGAAACCATGTAGATGTGAAAAATTTCAGGAGATCTATGACAAGAGAAGTTTTCACTCAGAATTGGTTCAATTCAGCTTTACCTAACTATTAGTTCTTTGTAGCTCAGTTGGTTAGAGTGTATCAGATTTATTAATAGTTTCCTCTACCCAGGGAGCTGCAGGTTCAAATCCTGCTGGAGAGTGTACATTTTTCTTTAATAAGATTTCTTGAACATTCAGGCCAGTAAACAAAAATAAATAAATAAATAAATAGACTGTTTAATAAACAGAGCGTCTATTCAAATATGAGTATCCACTAAAAATGTTTAAAATGGTTTGTTTTTGTTATATTTTGTGCTAATAGGAATATATACTTGAAAAACAAGGTGGATAAAATAAGTAAAGGTTTATTGTAAAAACTAGTACAATAAGAATAAAAATAACAGCTATGTATAAGGTCATCGCAAGTCAATCCAGTAGTGAGTGCTACTATTGGAAGGTCAGTAGTTCTCACATAAGTCTGAGTCATACTGAACAGATCCCAGCTAGTCTCCATAGTTTGTTGACTTACAGCTACTTATAGGTAGTTACTACCTACAGTGTAGTCACTCATGGGGGTGACATTACATCAGTTTTTAATTTTAACTTTAAGTTAAAAATTTGTGTTTTCTTTTAATACCCCCAATTTGTCATCGTAAGATTACTATTCTGTTTTTCTTTTTTAATAAAACTTCTTCCCTTTAAGATAGATATCTACAACCCTCCTTGACCTGTCTCATGCCTAGCATCTGACTGAAACAGTGAAAAGTGTAAACTCTGTATTAGGTGTTTTTGGCTAGTTACGGTCTGATCCTTTAGCTTCCAATCTCAATTCCTCACAGTTAACTGCTAAATCCTGCTTCCTCTAACCTTACAGACATGAATTTCATTTCATTCCACACTGGGATTGAAAAGTCTGACAACCACTTTCGTTGTCTGCTGAAATAGCCTATTCCCCATATGAGGTAAAAGGGTTTGTTTGATCATTAATTATATTGCTCTGTATGAATTAAATAAAATACATCAAGCTCTTTTTTGTGGATCAGTTCTAATATTTTCATATTACTAGGATCCACTTGGATTACATGCCAACAGATTTTTTACCTTACTAGATATATATATATATATATATATATATATATGCATTTTCCAGACATTTTCATCTCAGTAGATTATTTCCTCTTTTAATCAAAGTAGCATTCCCTATGTTAAAACTGTGGTCTGTTTTGTTATGGTCAACAACCGATGCATTTTGTGTGTTATTTAAAATGTCCATTTTGTGTTCATATAGTTTCTTGTTTAATCTTCTTGATGTTTCTCCAATGTATTCAGTCAGGCAATTTCTGCATTTGACTAATGAATCAAAAAAATATATTATTCTACCCACAAACTCTATCACACCTACAACCAAAAAGAATTTATCTAAACTCAACATAAAATTTGTCATAACTACATCTAAAATAATCAAAGACTTAATCAAATAAAAAAACAAAACAACCAGCCAAAACTTGAAGGAGGAATTTACTCTACGAAATGCAAGAATTGCCAGAATGAATAGATTGGAAAAACCTTAAGAAGTGTAAAGAAAAGATTATATGAACGCAAAAGGGACATTTTAAATAACAATACACAAAATGCATTGGTTGCTCACAATGTTAAAATGGAGCACAGTTTTGACATAGGGAATGCTACTTTGATTAAAAGAGAAAATAATCCACTGAGACGAAAATTCCACGGTAAATTTGCATTCAGGCTCTTAAAATATATCACCATTCTTGGTAAGTGTGGGATAGTCAGGGGGAAAAAAAAAAAAGAAAAAGAATATAAATGAATTTGGCTAAATTAAAACAAAAAAATATTCTTTCAAAAAATTCTGAAATTACCTGTATCTCTCATTTTGTGCGCATGTGTAGATGTGATAACATCAACAAAGCCCAGTCCAGTTTATCATATTTTTCAATGTAAAACAAAAGGCTCATAAAATATTCCAAAATAGAAAAGCTGTCCTTCCTGACAAACACAACAAATGAAAAAATATATTATTCTACCCACAAACTCTATCACACCTACAACCAAAAAGAATTTATCTAAACTCAACATAAAATTTGTCATAACTACATCTAAAACAATCAAAGACTTAATCAATAAAAAACAAAACAACCAGCCAAAACTTGAAGGAGGAATTTACTCTACGAAATGCAAGAATTGCCAGAATGAATAGATTGGAGAAACCTTAAGAAGTGTAAAGAAAAGATTATATGAACGCAAAAGGGACATTTTTGACATAGGGAATGGTACTTTGATTAAAAGAGAAAATAATCTACCAAGACAAAAATGTCTAGAAAGTGCCTTGATCGCAATGTTCAGCCACAATAAATTTGCATCTAGGCTCTTACAATATATATATATATATATATATATATATATATATATATATATATATAAAGCTGATGTTTTATAGATTGTCACTTGCTAGGTCAGACTTCTGTTTATGTTTTTGAGGTGGTTTGATCAAACAATTCCAAACAGATATTAAAATATCTTTCACAATGATATACTGTTGTTGTTGTTATGCCAAAATTTCTTAAAGGAGATAACAAAATAGTTTCCTTTTTTACAGACATTGGTCTTGGCAATCCAGAATATTTTTCAATGAGCTAGATTTCCTGCCAGTTTCCATCTCTTCCTATTGTCATATATAAAAAGAGTTTAAAAACTCACTAAGTGTTACATTCTTTGACAGCTCAAAAGTCACTGGGTGATATCTTTAGTATTTCAATGAAAACTTCACTTTGGAAGATTTTTTTTCACACTTCAAAAACAATATTTTATTATTAGTTTAATATATTTGATAGGATTGTTTATTTATGGCTTATGAAAATTTTGTAGGTTATTTAAAACTGAAATATTTTGGATTATAAGAACAATTTTTTTTGATAGTGAATATTGCATAAACATTTTTTTGAAGATAATGATTTTCAGATACAAGTCCTATTATTTAACCCATAGCTATGAGGAGAAAATGTGGATTCATACATTTCTAAAGGGTATTCTCACATAACTGAAATTTGAACTCGGATCTCAGAGTTCTCATTCCAAACCACTATCCATTATAGCACACACACATCCAAGCTTACAGCAACTGGTATTCCCAAGTGGTTACCTCTCTAAGTACTGACCAGGTTCAACATTGCTTAACTTTGATGATTAGACGAGAACTGGTATTTCAGTATATGTCAGGAAGATGCTTTCTAATATACAGACTTATAAACTGCTTATAAAAGCAAATTTTCAGCAGTATGATGCTAATTATTTAAATAGTCACTGAATGATCAATAATAATAATAATAACAGTCATAAAAAACATTTCTTATCAATTATTATAAGAATATAACAGAAGGAATTACCTACTAGGCAACCCTATACTGTATCCTAAGGTGTACAATTCATGAAATTCCATTAAATTTTTGGCAAAACAAATTATAAGTAAACAGCTGCTGCATTTGAATCAAACTCTGCTTTTCTTATTTTATTTCAAGCTCATGATTTGAATCTTTCAAAATTACCCCCGTAAATTATGGTGGCTATAGGAAAGAAAAAACAATATTGCACATGAATGAAAAGCCCATGGAAATTTTAAATTCTGCTTACAATTAAGTCTTTTTGCTCCTAATTTGTGAGTTTTCAGAGCCATAATCTTCATGATAAAATGCCAGATGTTCCATTTTATGTAGTATTCATTTATATCCATCTAATAAAATATTCTTGCAAAATCATTATCTATACTGATTTTTTTCTCTTATATATCAGTTGCAATTCTGTATCATGCACGATGACATGCTGAGACATTTTATTTCAAAATTAATTTTGGAGTTCATTATTTAAAACATCATATAGAATAGATAAAAGGCTGAAAAAGTGGATTTTACATTGCACAGCAGTTTCATTCACATTAACTGACACTTTCTGTAGGGCTCTGGCAAAATACATTTAGCAAATAAGTTTTATTTTAATTATTATTATTATGTATAATTATTATGTATAATTATTTAAATTATTAGTATTATTATGTATAATTATTTAAATTATTATAATAATTATGCATATTTAAATTATCATAATAATTATGTATATTTAAATTATCCTTATTATAATTATTTAATTATTATTTATATTATGTATACTATTTCAAACAGGACAAATGAAGGTTCAGATTGTTTTCATCCAATGTTGAAAACTGTTCAAAGATTAAAACATTATTGTTCATGGAGTTGATAAAAATTAAAACTTTCAAATCTTCTTTTATTCCCTTTCAGAGAAGCCTATATATTTTCTCCTTTAAATTAAGCCATTAAAAGATTTCATTTTATGAGATCCAATTGTTTTTCTCTTTGAATTAAAGTATTTGACTCCATGGTTACAGAAAAAAAAATGAATTATTTATAACAGCACTTAAAAAGAAACAATAGACATGCAGCCTTTGAGTTTATGTAATTAATAAGGAAATAAAAAATATTCATGTATATTATGTATGAAATTTATAGAAGATTGAAAAATCAGAATCTCAAAATCCATTGTGATATGTAAGCCATATAAATGTAAAAGAACAAAAATACTTATAAAATATATAATTTTAAACCCCAACATTTCTCATAAATGGAGTAACCTGCAAATACTTTCTTTGCATTTAATAAGACATTCATTGGTGAATTTCAAATAAATTATACTAGCACCTGGTTTTTACACAACATTAAAAAATAACAGCAAAAATAATAGTTCAATTTTATTACAAAGGGCCTCAAAAAAGGATAAAGATAATTTTAGTTGATAATATTTATTAAATAAATTTTTATATTGCTATTAATTCCAATTTGTTATTAATCTAAATATTATAATCTGAATTCTAATATTTACCCAACACTGGTGGTAAGCCTGGCATCTTATGTAACATATTTAACATGTAAAAATATCCCCAGAAATCAAAGTCTACTTGTATTTAGATTTGACAAGATTAAGTTTTACTATTCAGAACAAATCCAGATTAGATTAGGTGACACTTCAGAAAGAACTTCTAAACAGCATGTAAATTTATTTTGATTAATCTCTGGAATTTTTAAAAAGGAAATGCAAAATGAAAACCAGTGAAAGCACAACAAGGAAATGAGAAACACTTCAGCAGCAAAATAAGCACAAAATGGAGATCCATTTGCTCATTTGTTAAATAATTCAAGTGGATCCATGTATCAGGTATCCTTTGTAGATAACTTGAGGTGATTAAAAAATTAAATTAGCCAAATGCAAACATTTTGATTTAAATAAGAAATTGTGAATGCTCTTCAATTAGAGATATTTTCAGTGACCATTTATCATCTTCAGTTACCAATATTGAAAACACTTCTTATTGGAAATTGTTAGGGGAAGCTAAATACCTTCCCCTAAAAAGGATGATAACTCAAAATACAACTGAGTTACTTCCCTTGTCTGTCAAAATGAGGGCACCACTTCTGAAGTGAACATGGTGACCAGCTGACATGCATGTAGAATTCCTTATTTCAATCCATGTAATCCTCGCTGTTCTCAGACAGTGAATGAATAAAAGTTGTTCATTTATGTGCTAAAATGCACTTGTCTTTTATTTTCATTTGGTTTTCTTCATCCCAACAGCATGGGACATGACATAAATTTTTGGCGACAAGGACTCGAACTTCAAAATCAACATGGCAATTTCACCTGAGACTTTATGCCAGCAATTTCAGAAGTCACAACAACGGTTATTGGCAGAAATGATTTCACAGTTCCAGAATAAACTCAAAATTTTACATGTCAGAACAGACCAAAATACCAACTCAACAAATACCTTAGCCAACAACATAACAGAATTCCACTATGACTCAGTGGGTGGGAAAATGTTCGCTTCATGTTTTAAAAGTTGGATGGATACCTTTCACAATGACTTTTCTCACACAGATGAAAAATAGAAAATCCATCACCTAATTTGTAAACTGGGCACTAAGGAACATGATCATTATACAAATGCAAGCAACAAATTTCACCTTCACTGAAACAGTGGAACAACTCAGTTAAGTATTTGGAGAAAAACAACCTTTATTTAACATTTGATTCAATTTTTTAAAGCTAATAAAAGATGACATTGACAATTATGTGATGTTTGCTGGTCACATCAATTGAGAATGCAAAAAATTGAAATTAAATTCCCTCACAGAGGAACAGTTTAAGTGTTTGATTTTTAGTGCAGGATTAAAATCTTCTATTCATGCTGATTTTCACACCAGACTTCTTTTGGTAACAGCTAAAAAGACATTATATTAAAAGCCCTCACTGCTAAATGCAATAATTTATAAAGATATGATGCTGGTCTCAAAAACTGCAACATCAATGTGAGAAAAGAATCTTGTGATGAAAATAAACCTTCCTCAAAATGTTGACATTATGGCAACTGGCATTATGCACACTTTTGTCCATTCAAGAAACATAAGTACAATATTTATCACCAGAACAGACATAAAGAAGGGTTTTATAATCCAAATTCACACAAAAATTCAACTGAAAATCACCCCCCCCCAAAAAAAAACAAAATGGAGGAAAAAGTTCAAAACAAACACAGTGTTTGCAAATTTCAAAGTGGATTACAAATCCCACAGAAAATATATTGTTGTTTCTGTAGACAACAAAACAAGTCATTTTCTGTTTGATACTGCATTGGACATAACATTAATATCGCATTCGGCCTGGGAACAAATTGAATAACCACGTGTGTCTGAAACAAATCATATGGCAATGAGTATGTCTGGAGGTACAATTCATTTATCTGGTGAGTCAACTTGCAATGTTTCCTTTCAAAATAGAAAATTTTCTGTTGTGTGTTACCTCACAAATAATTCATAATTGAATTTAATTGGTCTTGACTGGATAGAACAACTCAACCTTTTCAAATTCCTCTCAAGTCTATTTTCAATACATTTAACTACACATCAGTTTCTGATATTGAAAATCATTTCACGGGCATACTTAAAAATAAGTTTAGTGACGTTTTTCAAGAGGGGCTTGGGTGCTGTACAAAAAATAAAGTACCAGAAGACTCAGTCATTACAGCATTATCTCTAGAGCCAGAAGTCACTTCATTACTTGCATCCATTGTAAGAGCACTGCCAGTTACTTCTACAATGATCTGTGAATCCACAGCATCTGATCCAGTGACACAAAAAGTGATATGCTCCTATCATACAAAATGGCCAGAAGTATGCACTGACAAAAGCATTCAGCCATTCTTTCAGCAGTGATCTTCATTGTCAGAAGTCAGCGGATGTCTTCTTTTTGCAGAACAGGTGATTATCTTCATTATATGACAGAATGATCAAGCAATTCTATTATGGTCATCCAGGTTTTTAGCTGTATGAAATTCCCAGCTATGTTTATTGGTCAAACATGGACAAGCAGTTGGAGGAATTGGTAGCCACATGTTCCAATTACCAATTGGCAGCAAAATCTCCCAGGAAAACTATACTGAATTCCTGGCCTATTCCTAAATCCCCCTTAGCATGCCTTCACATTGATTTCATTGAACCCATCAAGGGCAGTATTATTTTATTCTTGTTGATGCTTACAGCAAATGGCCAGAAATATTTCAGATGAATTGAATCACCTTGAATGAAGCAATTCTTAAGTTAAAGCAAACCATCAGCCAGTTTGGAGTTCCACAGAGACTAGTTTCTGATAAAAGCACTGCCTTCACTTTAACCTGCATTTTCAACTTTCTGAGAACAGAATGTATTCAACACATTAGGACATGACTTTTTCATCCACAGTCAAATGGACAAGTGGAGCATTTTGTAGATATCTTTCAGAGAGCACTCTTCAAACTTGAAGGGGAGGGAACCACACAAGAAATATTAGAAATATTCCTTGGAAGTTACAGAGCTACACATAATTCAAATGCACCTAATGGCAATTCAACAGCTGGAGCACTGATGAACCATAAAGTTTGTTTACACATAGATGTCATTTATCCAACTACAAAGCATTCCCTGAAAAGGAACATGGTGATGGAAGAACGATTTAACCATCATCATGGAGCAATAAAACACAAATATGTACCAGGACAACCTGTACTTGCAAAAGATTACTGCAATGATAAAAAAAGGATCCAGGGATGCATTATATGTTGCTCTGGAAAAGTTGCATATGTGGATATTCAGTCTTTAGATTTGGTT